TCCAATGAATAGTCTTCTCACAGGGATCACATATATGGAAGTTTGAAAGCCGTATCCCTTACCATTCAAAAGTTATGGCCAAGGTAAAAAAAAAATTCACAAGGATGGAAATCTCCACGGTCAAGGTCAAAAGGTCATGGTTGTTTGTATCCAATGAAAGGTCTTTCAACAAAGAATATATATGTGAAGTATAAATATCCTGGTTTTTACTGTTCAAAAGATATGGCTAAAGAAAAAGTTCGGATTTTTTGTGTAAAAATGTTCAAACTCCAAGGTCAAGGTGAAAAAGTCAGATTTGGTGGTACCCAAAGAAAGGTCTTGTCACAGGGAATACACATGTGAAATGTTAGAGTCATAGCTCCGCTGAGAACAAGGGGCGTTTTTCGCGTTTAAGGGGGATGTACAAGCCACATTTGATCAAGTCTGGTGTAAAAAAAGAAATACCAAGAATGCGCTTAATACTCTACTAAACTAGCCCAAAGTTACTCAAAGTGCTAATGCACTTATTACCGACCGTTAGAGACCAAAATTAGTAAATAATTAAGTTTATTTTGTTTTAATTAGGAGGAAATTAATCATGTTAGAACTGCGCAGCTACAGCATTTACAAAATGATAAATGCATTGAAAATGGTGTTAGTTTGATTCATTGATAATATGGCTGCAACCATTTGTTTCGCTTTTTGTCTCGCCTGCGACGAATGTCGCGAAGCGAGACATAGCGACCATAGATTCCGTCGTCGTCGTCGTCGTCGTCGGCGTCCAACTTTTGGTTAACCCAAATGTCAAAGTTTTATAAACTGCAATAACTTTCTCAAATTTTATTCAGTCTTCTTGAAATTTGGACACAATATTCAGTATGGATAAAAATTTATATCCCAAGTATGATTTTGAAAAAAAAAATTCAAATTTTTCCGTATTTTTTCCTTAAGTTGGACTTAGTTTTTTCATGATAATTTATGGTGAAGACCTATATTCCAGCAACTATAAGTTATAGGGATATGATAATTAGTCAGTGGATACATCATGGGTAACCACAAACGTCAGTACCAGAATTAGGTCATCTTGACCTACATTTTTCTGCATGAGTGACTTTGGTTAAATTTTTGGTGGAGGTCCATATCTCAGCATCTATAACTTATAATGGCATGATGATTTGTCATTGTACAGGTTATAAGTAACCAACAACATCAGTACCAGAATTAGGTCATTTTGACCTACATTTTTCTGCATGAATGACTTTGGTTAAATTGATAATGGAGGTTCATATTTCAGCAACTATAACTTATAGTGGCATGATAGTTAGTCAGTGGATACATCATGGGTAACCACAAACATCAGTACCAGAATTAGGTCATTTTGACCTACATTTTTCTGCATGAATGACTTTGGTTAAATTGATAATGGAGGTTCATATTTCAGCAACTATAACTTATAGTGGCATGATAGTTAGTCAGTGGATACATCATGGGTAACCACAAACATCAGTACCAGAATTAGGTCATTTTGACCTACATTTTTCTGCATGAATGACTTTGGTTAAATTGATAATGGAGGTTCATATTTCAGCAACTATAACTTATAGTGGCATGATAGTTAGTCAGTGGATACATCATGGGTAACCACAAACGCCTGTACCAGAATTAGGTCATCTTGACCTACATTTTTCCGCATGAGTGACTTTGCATAAATTTATGGTGGAGGTCCATATCTCAGCAACTATAACTTATAGTGGCATGATAATTTGTCAGTCTACACATCATAGGTAACCAACAATATCAGTACCATAATTAGGTAATCTTCACCTACATTTTCTGCATGAATGACTTGATACATATACAGTGGATTTGATTTCAAAATGCAAGTTCAAATTATTGCGACTCATAACACGTTGTGTAAACCATTGTGGTTTGCTATGAACTACTAACACAAACATATGATACAGTGTTTTTAAAGTGTACATAGTATTTCCAGCAGTTATTCGGAGAAACTTAAAGTGGACAAAAAACAATCTATCTCTTGTGAATAATATGAAATATGGAAATTTTAAACTGTACAGAAGATATTTAACCTACATGATGCATTTGGATCCTACCTACTCTTGTGAATAATATGAAATATGGAAATTTTAAACTGTACAGAAGATATTTAACCTACATGATGCATTTGGATCCTACCTACTTTTCTGTTTACCAGTTGGCATATGCAGTGCATTACACATTGACTAAGAGGAAAATGTTGTGTTCATCAGTATGCAAAAGTTATATATTAAATCCATATAAAATATACCTATAGTCAGTCCAGATAGAAACGTTTTACAGTTCTTATTAAGTCCATGACAATATCTCTTTAAAAACCAGCAAAATGACTCGATCCACTTTTTGAGTTATTCCTTCTGAAATGTCAATAAATGCTTCAGTTTATCAGACAATCATTTCTTACTAACCACAGCGACAGCAGGCGAGACACAGGGTTGCGGGCAACCCTTACGTACTTTTTTCTTGTCATTATCCATAATTCTTGAAAATTTGATTTTTGATATGGGTGTCTTCCTGAGGCCATGTGTTTATTTCGTCCGCCATTCCTCTGTCACACAGAGTTCGAATAACATTGATTTTAGAATAAATGCGACCATAATAACATCAAGATAAGAAATTACTAAGTAATAATCATTAGATTATATTACTTACTACTTTTATTTGTTGCATCGCATCGTCTGATTAATGAAAAAACGCGATTTTAACCTCACTCCAGCAAATCGGGAAAAACTGTTCTGTTTACAGCTCGAATTTCCCGTTAATATTATTCCACTGAGCACGTGGTTGGCATGTGCATATATCTGCTGTGGATAGATCCGTTTATATTACCATGATTATATTTAATTTTTCATGGATCAAGTCTTGATAATTTGTTGGTTTCGTTAAAACTCACGATAAAAAGATAAAAATGTCCTTAACATTTGTGTTTACGGCGGGTCTTTTTTCTGTGGCGATAGAAGTTATTTTCAAATGGGGCACTGCAAGGAGGATGATTAAAATTTAATTTGAAAATGTTAAACAATATGCGGTGCATGAAAAACAAATTGTAATTATATGTCTTACATTCGAAAAGTTGGTACATATGTCTATTTTGTTTTGAAGTTTGATAGAAAAAATAGGCAGTTATAGGATTTTCTTCAGGCACCTCACATAAAGATCTAGATTGTTTGCAATGACCCACACATTGTATGGAGTACTGTTTGGACATAAAAACGCATCATGTCTCATTATGTTGACAACGTTGTAAGCTCTTGCTCATTGAACATATGAAGCTTGATAAAATATATTGAGTTGTTTCTATGAAATTTAGAAGCGAGCACAATGTTTGCAAAGAAAGGTCCATAGCATATGCTTTGTCTATCATCGCAAAAAAAGTGAGAGGCTAAAACCCCCTCCCCCCCTCCTCGCCCCGAAAATCCTATGTTTGTTTTTCAAAATAGTGCCAAAGATTAAAAAAATTTGCATGTGATGGTACATGTACTAGCCTTATAAGACCACTTGTTATAAAAATATTTGGTTGCCCTCTCTCTCGATTACTGCCTAGAAATGGCCCGACTCATTTTTTTTTCATCCCAGTACACGATATTTTTTTTTCTTTTTCTTCCGTCAACAATTTTGTTTAAATTTTAAGGAATTTTTTTTCTCACCAATAAATTAAATATGGACCCAATAATTTTCCCTGAGTTGGGAGGACCACCAAACGTCCGTTTAAAGATGGTATAAAATATTTAATTATGTTGATTTTTTTTCTTTACTTTGTAAAATTGTAATTTTGACAATATGGGCAAATAGAAAAAAAAGGTTTTTTATTCATTAAATCTCCTAACCCACTCTGAATTTCATTCCTTTTCAAATGTTGCTCCGCTGTGATGAAAATTGTAAATGCATTTTTATTTGACACAGTATACGAGAGGTGATCAAAAAGTAAACGATATCTTAGGTATTTGATAGTTATATAATTGTTAAAATATTCAAGTATTTTTCAAAGTGTAAATTGGAGGTCTTCATTTTTTGATAGCATATTTAAGTAAAAACACACCCCTTTTCAATCTTGCTTTCACCGGGCAACATAACAAGTATCATATTTAACCATTTGCCTTCCTTCATTAAAACGATCTATCCAATCATTGATTAAAATTATAGGAAGCCATTTGTCTTAATAAACTGTGAAGAAATTCTTATACGCTATTTCAAAGACATTTCTAAGATATACATGTACCATTAATATTATAGTCGTTTGTTGAACGAGTTCCACTGAGACAACCATTTTTCGTCACAAGTACCGGCATAATGACGTCATTTTCAGATTGTGACGACACAAACAAGGAGCAAAACTTCAGCATATGCTATTTATAGAACTTGCGTTTGGTTATGTTTCTAATCTGAATTGCGGTTTTGTAGATATATAGATAGTTTGCGAAATTTTTGATCACCCTTCGTACTAGTAGGTACTAAAACAAGGTCATTCGTATCAATTTTATGTGTCTAATTTCTTTTTGTTTCATTGGTGATAATTAAAATTTTGATAGATAATATAAGTTATCTGTGGCAAACTTACAAACTCTTAATTTTTAACTTTGATGGTGCTCATTTTTCCTAACCTTACCTGGAATCAAAGAGTTTAAGATTTTTTTATATCAATACGTACACTATTTAACAACTGTTCGATAATAATACTAAATACTTCAAGCCACACTATAACACCTTTCCTCTTTTAAAAGTGTTCATATTATTCGAAATATTTTGCAACTGTAATTTTCTTCTACATTTAAAATTGTTATGTCCCTCCATATTAAGAAGAGGTCTGGAAAATCATTTTCTATTAGTTGTATGTGGGGATTAATTTATACGCGTAAGCACAAATAAGGGTAGTTGTTTGGTCATAGTATATAAGAAGTTGGTCAGGCGTAAAGCGGTCATCGACGAGCAATAATCAACCAGATTTCGAACACGCTTTACCTGGAATGAACGAGTCAAATTCTAGTCACGAGGAGCGGGTTATACATGCTGCGCCTCAAATTGGCCTAAGTGGACGACCTGGCTTAACACAAAATTCGCAAGATGAATTCACTACTCAAGATGCACTGGATATTTTTACAGACAAATTAGATAGGGCGCTTAGACGGCAAAAGCAAGAAATCGTCAGCGAGTTGAGTTTAGCCCAGAAGTCAACAGAAAAAAAGGTACCTGACTTTAGATATCAAGGCAATAAAATTCAGTTTGAATTTAATGCAGAAAGAGAAACTGACATTAGAAAAGTATTAAACCTGTTGGAAAATAACAGATTAGAAACGGCTAAAGAAATTTTGAATTCTACTATAACTCATTTGAATAAAAGGAACAAAATTGTTCGCATAGCGGATAAATATGGTTGGGACGTTGTACAAGAGTATGAAGATGATCCTATTACTGACGACGCTGACGATGCTACTAAGCTTCGACAAGCTATTTTTCAGAGCAAAGAAAAGAAGCACCAACAAGAAGCCTTACGACAGAACAACACGTGCTTATCCTGGATGAATGAAATTGCAGATGTGTACAGTAAGATTTTTGATTTTGATGATTGGTCAGTGGGTGATCACATTTTCCAGTTTTAAAAAAAAAAAAAAAAAAAAAATGGGGGCATTTGATAATGATTTATTTGCAGACTCTAAAAGTAAGAAAGTAGAAAATTTTTATTCCAGAGTTTGGAATCCTGGAACATCAGGTGTAGATGCTTTTGGGTTTGATTGGTCTATAGGTAATAATTGGATAGTACCTCCTGTTAATCTGATTATAAAAGTGATTAAACAATTGGTTTTGTGCAAAGCAAGAGGTACTCTTATTCCTAAATGGCAGTCTGCACCTTTTTGGCCTTTATTAGTTAAGCCGTTTTCTGGAAATTTTCAAAATTTTGTTAAAGAATGGCTTGAATATCACAAGCCTCGAAACTTTTTCAGGAAAGGATCTCATGCAGAGAGTGTGTTTGCTGAAACGCAGTTTCAGAGTAATGTTATTGTGCTTTATATAGACTGTTCTGATTGTTGAATTTTGTGTTTATGCTATGTTATAACAGACAATGATAATGAATGTATGTTAGTCTTTATGGGGCTTTTGTAATGTTAAAAAATAAAATAAAATAAAAAAAAAAAAAAAAAAAGCCCGGATGGGGCAATTGTGATGAAGCCCGGATGGGGCAATTGTGATGAAGCCCGGATGGGGCAATTGTGATGAAGCCCGGATGGGGCAATTTTAATGAAGCCCGGATGGGGCAATTGTGATGAAGCCCGGATGGGGCAATTGTGAATAAATTTTATATTATGTTGCTTATAATTGTTAATGAAGCATTATGATTAAGATTACAGATGTGCTTATGAGATTTGATCAAGAACGGGCTGAAATGTTTATCAAGAGACTTAAATGTATATATATTTAATATGAAGTAATTTTATTTTTTTTTTTTTTAATTTCAGCTCACATGTAGTTTCTCGCATTGGAAAGAAATTAAAAAGATTCAAGATCCTAGACTCAAGGACACGGTACTCAAAATGAATGATATAGTAATGCACAGTAAAAGTGATAACACGTTTAAAAAATACAGAGCTATTTTTTTCAGTTTAAGTCCTGGTGCGCAAAATTTAAATTTCTTGTATTACCTGCTACACCATCTTCTGTTAGTTTATTTGTCTTATCTTATACAAAAGCAGTCTTCAGTTGCAGTCATTAATGCGGCATATCATAGAATTCAATGGGCACATCATATTAATCTTTGTAATAATCCATGTGCAGACAACCTTGTAAATTTGATTTTAGAAGGAGGGAAGAGATTGTTATCGAAACCTGTAGTTAATAAGGAAACTATTACAACAGAGATTTTAGATAAAATAATGGATAAATTTCCGTAGTTAGAAAATTTATATCATTCGAGATTGGTATGTATGTTGTTATTAGGTTATGCAGGTTTCTTAAGATATGATGAACTTGTGCATATTCGAATGTGTGACATTTAGTCTCATGAATCAGGTTCACATGTTGAAATTAGAGTTTAAAAAAAAAAAAAAAGCAAAACAGATATTTTCAGGCAAGGTAATATGTTTGTTATTGCGAAATCAGGTAATAAACATTGTCCTGTTTCTTATCTTGAAAAATACATATCTATAATAGCTTGTCTCACTTTTCAGTCTAACGATTTTATTTTTAGAGCGGTTACATTTTTCAAAAAGGACAATGTTTATAAGTTATAAGTTAAAAGTGTGTGTGTAGATTTTAAAGATTATGGTTTACATAGTTTGAGAAGTGGTGGAGCAACTACAGCAGTTAATAACAATTTTCAGGATAGACTTTTTAAAGCTCATGGCAGATGGCGTTCGGAGAATGCTAAAGATGGTTACATTTCAGATAGTTTAAATAACAAACTCGCTGTTACTTTGAATCTTATATTATGAATTCTTTAATTTCTTTTGTAGATTAATGATATACCCAACCTTTGTATTCGAACTGGTTGATAGGCGCTCAACATACTTTATATCTGTGTTCTGTTATTTATTTTCTAAGTACTTAGAATAGAAATATTTTATGTTCGGATGAGTGAAACGAAGGAGAACATAAATCATTTTCTATTAGTTGTATGTGGGGATTAATTTATACGCGTAAGCACAAATAAGGGTAGTTGTTTGGTCATAGTATATAAGAAGTTGGTCAGGCGTAAAGCGGTCATCGACGAGCAATAATCAACCAGATTTCGAACACGCTTTTTTTGAATTACATATAGATATATATATATATATAATGTATAACTAAGACATGTTTCATTGTATTTTGCAGATAGATTGTATTTGGAATTTTGGATATATTTCTTGGGGTCATCATCCAGTGCATCGCTACTTAAAGTCGCGTGTTAATTGTACATATATGCGAATAAACTGGTTGATAGGCGCTCAACATACTTTATATCTGTGTTCTGTTATTTATTTTCTAAGTACTTAGAATAGAAATATTTTATGTTCGGATGAGTGAAACGAAGGAGAACATAAACAAAATTCTGTGCTAAAAATAGACCACGTGCTGCTATCCATGAACTACTTTCATGGTTCTTCACACTCCTTTTGAAGACAACGGTACCTTGATTTGAACTTGAATTTATCATTTAAAGGTCCAACATTTAGAAATTTTCTCAACAAATGGTTGTAGAGAGAACATTAATGCACAGTTTGCATAATTTTTTGGATTTTTTAAGACTCTGCTTAATTCTGTAGCTGCGCAGTTCCAAGGAGCATATCAAAAGCATTTTTCTGCAAAAGTATAGATTATATATAAACAACATGCATTCAGTTATGCATATTTATTGTATCTTTATCATAAGGACTTAAAATTCGATCATAATATATAATGTATTTTAGCCATTTGAAGTAATGTTTACATTTTGTTCTCACTGCACTAAAGGTGGCCGGACATCCCCCTTAAATGCCGCGTGTTGAAATTTACTTTTAATTGTCGAGGAGGAAAGCTAAATAAATTTCCTTTTAGATAATATATAACAGTATATGTTTATTTTTTAAATATTATAAAAATAAATGCCTGGAAATGCTGTTGTTTTGAAGTTAACGTCACCATTTTAGCGTTGACGTTATACACGTCAATTGTAAAGGTGCTGTGATAAATCCCTACACATATCAGAATAACACAATTCGTTTCGTTTTAACCAATGTAAAATAAAGAAGGAAACAACACAATTATAAATAGAAATTTTTTTTTTAATAATCATGAATAAATAAACATTATAAAAATCTTTGCTCGAATCTGCAACACAAGACATTTATTTATTCCAAAATCAACAGGAATTACGCTGCAGTAACGTATAAAACGTATAAACGATCTATATCGTGAAAATAATGATACATGTACTAAGTATTTTATGTATTTCTGTTGAATATTTCTGTTTCAATGATAATTAACATCGATAAATGTGAAAAATATCACTTCCAGAAAATACATGTAACTAGCTTGTAGACAATCTATTCTTCGGTTGAGCTCTCCTCGCCGCTGTCAGAATCGTCGATCACGCGAGCTGCGTCCTCGAGGTGTTCTGACCAATCACGCACTCCTTGCACGGGCTTATCCTGATGTCGGGCATACGATAGAAACCAGATCACGCTTGTTATATGTGCGCAGCAACCAACAATGCGTGCGCCGGCTTTACACTTACAGTACCATGAGACCACAACGCCATCTTCGTAATTTACCCAACAGGAGTATTTTTTGGAACTGAATTGACGACTCTGAATTTTGGCTCCAATAATACCATCCAGGTCCTCGTTCACAAGGATTTCGTATGTACCGTCATCCTGTAAGTGTTCCTGGGTGTATGCTTTTGCCATCTTTACTTGGTACACTCCTAGCGTTAACTGGCGAATTTCGGAATCAGACAGTTTAGGGAAGTCTTGCGCAAAGCCGGCTGCGTCAATTTTTTGCCATGAATATGTCCTGTTTGACAGTCCATTACTTTCTACAAATTCCTGTAGCTCGTTTGTCCGCTTAGAGAGATGCAGCATTTTTAAGGCAATGGCCTTATCCTCTTCCGCATTGCCAGAACTTAAGACGGAAGTAAATCTGTTGCACAGGGCACACACGATCCTTACGTAGTCTCCAATAAAGGGAATCTGTGTATTTGGTATGACATGATTCAGATATTTCCATCTCTTCAACCTCGCATTGGCCGTGTCGACAACCCACCTTACCTATAAAAAATTGATTTGAAATTAATTATTTAAACAATGCACCCATTTTTATAATGACAACATGAAATATTTCAGAAGTACTAGAAGACAAGTACAATGTACAAATGCACATGAAATTTAAAGTAAAATAGTAAAAATACCTTAGTTATTAAGCGTGATTGGTTAGCTTCCTGTGTGGTGTGTTGAGATGTACCCCTCTGCATAAAGCAAGGCATTTCCATGTTGATACCAATATCGCCAAGCACCTCGGAACTATCCCGGAATCCACGATCTACGATGAATGTGTCACCATCCTGCAGCCAGTCTCGCATTTCTTCGGTGTTGTTCCGGATTATGTGATTTAAGATTCCGGCATCGTTGTTCTTCGAGTCGGCGAGGTACGGCCCCAGGACAGATACCACGTATCCTGACGTAGTTACTACCATCATTGGTTTTACTAATGGCCTGTGCTTGTGCATGCTGAAGGAGCGCCTTGAAAATCTAAAGTTAGATGATTTCTGTATATAAATGTACGTCCCGTCAAGAACAAGTAGGGCAGATGGGTCTTGTTCGTAACCAGGGGAAAAAAGCTCTTTCGCCAATGGTCTAGTGTGGTTAGATATTACGTCTTCTCTAGTCACATGGCCAAATCCAAGATTTTGAGGGACAAAATCTTTTAATAATGCCCTCCGGGCAGATGATATAGCACGACGAATCTAAAATTCAGAGTAAGAGCATTTATAATTTCATTACTTGTAAATGATTTCTTAAGTATCTTCATAATTTTATAAGATCATTGATTCATTTTTCAGTATCAGATTAAATATACATGTATTACGGTACCTGCCACTTGTTCATGTTGAAAAGGGTACACATGATCTTGTTTTCAAGGCCACATCTAA